TGGAGGCCATCGCTAGTAGGTTGCAGGCCATAGCTAGGAGGTTGGAGGCTATTATAGCTAGTAGGTTGGAGGCCATCGCTACTAGGTTGGAGGCCATCACTAGTAGGTTGGAAGCCATTGCTAGTAGGTTGGACATTGCTAGTAGGTTGGAGGCCATTGCTAGTAGGTTGGAGGCCAACGCTAGTAGGTTGGAGGCCATCGCTAGTAGATTGGAGGCCATCGCTAGTAGGTTGCAGGCCATTGCTAGTAGGTTGGAGGCCATTGCTAGTAGGTTGGAGGCCAACGCTAGTAGGTTGGAGGCCACCGCTACTAGTAGGTGTGAGGCCATCGCTAGTAGGTTGGAGGCCACCTCTGGTAGGTATGAGGCCATTGCCGCTACGCTGGAGGCCATGGCTAGTAGGTTGGAGGCCATTGCTAGTAGGTTGGAAGCCATCGCTAGTAGATTACAGGTCATAGCTAGTAGGTTGGAGGCCATCGCTAGTAGGTTGGAGGCCATTGCTAGTAGGTTGGAGGCCATCTATAGTAGATTGGAGGCCATCGCTAGTAGATTGGAGGTCAACGCTAGTAGGTTGGAGGCCACCGCTACTAGTATGTTGGAGGCCATCTAGTTGGTTGGAGGCCATCGCCAGCAGGTTGGAGGCCGTCAACCGATTCCATATCTTAGATACTCTCTCCCTTCCTTTTGACCTGAACTTCTATTTCAATTTCACAACAAAGGGACTCCTAATCCCGTGTTTTCTGGCCGTGGAATGCTTTCACATCGGGTCCGGAAATCCAGCGGAATCCAACGAATCTAGCAAGAAGACCGAGGTTTGCAACGAGAAATTTGGGTGATGAATCATCAGTTTGGGTGTGAACATTTCGGATGCACCTGATATCTCGTCTTCCCAGGATTCCGGAGGCAAACAGCTAAGGTGCATGGAGGAAGCACCGGTTGCTGGTTTCATCAGCGCAGCTTAGGAGCGCCCCATCAGCGTGTACCGAGTGGGATGGGGTATACAGTGCGGTATACCCCCATCAGATCAGATCCCAAAGTTTAATTTATGTTCATCCCAACACTCCCTTCACTTCATCCAGGGGCCTTCGACCATGGGATCTAGCCAGTGTTCATCAGGTGAAACTCGTTACAACTGCCTAATGCTGGCTTAAACCATTGGATGCTTGCTCAGCCATGCAAGTCATGGCCCCAAAGGGAAGAAGTCGCGATCTCTGCTCAAATAGGTTGTCAATGGTTGTTATATACGTCCAGAAACATCATGCCCATGGATACACTGGAAACCCACGAGAAAGCATTCTAATATTAGTCTATAGTCTATAGCTAGTAACCACCTGGTGAACAAGAAGATTCACAACATTGTGTACAGAGACCGACTGAAACCGTGCTTGAAACAGGGGCTATCAATATTTTAGATTCATCAAGTTATCAAACCCTAGGAATCCACATACCTCCTCAAAAGGTACGACTGGACCCTCCAAACCTACATCAAAGTGTCGAACACGTCACCTTCTCAAAGGCTATACATGGATCCTGCATGCAAATGGCGCCCGCTGCCGCATGCCACTGCCGAAACCGGATCACTTGTGCTGTCCCAGCTGCTTCGTGAATCAGCCCCAAGCAGGTGAACAAGTTGATGTGACACACGCAACGACTGACGAACTTGTAGTTCCTCTCAGGGACTTCAAGGTTTGGAAAAACCATGAAACCAACACTCCATGCATGCCAGTGCTTGAAGTGACCCAGGTGTACAACCCAGACTCCTATCGGTAAATATATATGACCCAACACTCCATGCATGCCAGTACTATGCCAGTACTAGGCTGAAAATCAATGACTTATCAGGCTGGAAAGTTGATTGGTCATGACAAAACACGATGACTTGAGCAAAGGGATTGTTCCTTTGGGGGAGGGGTTCGTTGCATTCTCCCGGATCTGATCTCTCGCGGAAGTGGCCACCTTTACCGGTAGACAGTTGGACCTAAATCAAGTCTAAACTTGGCCCAAGACCCCTCGGTCCTCGGTGGATCTCATAAAACAAAACAGAAAACGCTGGACTTTTAGGTGCAAGTCCGACTGACGTCGTACCCTGTGGCAATCACTTGAGTTCCAACCTGAAAGCCCCTACGTCGTTCCCCTCCTTTGGCGAAGCTTGATCATCTCCTCATCCACCCTCGCTTCCTTGAGCTCATCCTGTGCCTCACAGGTGGACGATGCAAACTATTCAAGACCTCCTGTTCTTTCTTTTTCCTAATTTCGATGGCCTCCAAGCTACTAGCGGCCTGAAAAACTCCTGGAACTGTAGACCTTCATGACTTCAGATCAGAACTCTTATTGCCATTCGCCGAAGACTTTCGTCACGGGACCTCCTGAGTGGATTGACCCGGTACATCCCGACCGTCTAGTGGATGTGGGGTCTACCCCAAAGGGTGTCCACACAGCAGATCACACCAGCCACGAGAAAGCTGAAAGGCTGAAAACCCACACGCACGCGCGGGTCTCTGGGAGAGCGCCTGTGGAAAAAGGAAGAAGGTTGAGAATTGCTTCAGCTCTGCAAAATCACTCCGCGTGAAGGCCAAATGCAAGGGAAGCCACACCGCTGCAGTCGTGCAGACGATCAGCAAAGTGTCCATAATGTTCGCGAGCAAAACGAGGGGGCGTTTGATGGCGACGCCAGATGAAACTCCCCCCCAAGTGCAAGCCTCCCCAAGACCTTTCCTACACCCTTCGGCAAAGAGATGTGTCTGACAAGTCTCTTTTCTTCGTTTTCAGACTTGCTTTCCATCACGAGGTGTCGAGGTGTCGAGGTGTCTCGCAAGTCCCATGGATTGGGGGCTTTGAGGCAGTCGCTCGTCTCGTCTGATGCTTTCAATTCATCACCCACCGCAGATTCCTCATTCACCTGGGTTTTGAGCCAGCATTTGTTGGGCGGAACTCCACGCCAGGCTTGGTCACACCGGTGCAGTTCCGCACATCTGTCACCACGGCTTGGTGCGAACTTGGACGGACCCCTTCATGCAGCGGAAAAGTGGTGGATGTAGGCAGTATTTGCTTTACTTATAGAGACCATATATAATATATATAGTGTTTGGGGGCCAAATACGCTGTTTTTTTCATGTTTTTTTTTTCACAAACGATCTTGTTTCAGTGCGTGGTGACCAAGCTTCGAAAAGCCATGAAAAGCCAATGCGTTTGTGTGGCGAAGCAAAAGCTTGCATACTTCAAAAATTAATTTGCAATACCTGGTGTTTTGAACATCAGTGTAGGTGATTTGTGATAAACCTTCCAACGGTTTCCAAAATTCAGAGTTCTGAAGGGGTGATTTTCTGATCTCCAGGAAAAAAGAGCTACCGCTGGCTACGTTCGGCGCGAACCGCAGATCGGCCTAGCCCAACGAACCACCGGCGGGTGTTGTGTTGACCGCACATCGTGTGTTACGTGCACCACAGAGGTGGAGCAAGTAACAACGAGGTGAAAGAAACAGTCACACCCAGGGGTCACAAGACGGGGTGGTGTTTAGTCCCCAAGTGAGTGGAGTAGCTGGGCACCCCGACTACCTCCATGGATAGCACCCCGCTTGTGACCCCTGGACCTTGACGTTTTTTTTCTGCCGCTTTGGCATTTTGTGGAACCGTGGACCCGTGGGTTTCCTCCGAAAAAAAAAAAGAAAACCATGCTTTTCTGAATCAACGTCTGAAGAAGATTGAACTCTTTTCTGGAACCACCACAGAATCTTGAAGTCCGGACCTGGGCGCTACACTCCGAGCAGAATCGTGACCCTTTTCACGTGTAAAGCTGCAACAAAAAACAAGTTGAAAGCACATCCCGATGACCAAACCCAATCATTTGGTCGGGGCTGCTTGAGACGCACATGGACACATCTTAAAACTTGCAGGATACCGAATCCCGCACTGGGTCTCTCACCAGAGGTCTTTCTTGAATGCCATCCAGCTTAGGCAAGCCCCGAGCTTTCTCAGGACGAAAGCCTTTGAGGTAAAGCCACACTTTCCTTGGATTGGTTGAAGAAGCTGAAAAAGAACTCAGCTCTTCCCTAGAATTAGAACCCTACAAACTCTTAGAACAGCGATTCAACACACATTAGAAGAAATAACAAACATATCTCTAAGCAAATGCGGGGCTTCTGAGCCCCATGGATTCGGTGCAAGGTTGCCTCTTCGGCAATCAGCCAACCACTCTGACCGGGCAAATGGACCGTCATCCGCTTCAAGACTTTCGGTTGAAGGTAGGGATCCAGTGCAGCCTTCTCGGCAAATCTGACCACCTAAGAAGACGTCGAGCTGCCAGAGGTCTCGGGCCGGAAAAGTCTCAGCTGAGATCCTAGTATACATGCTGGGTGGTTCCAGCATGTTGCAGTCTGGGTCTTTGGCATGTCTTTGGTATCGGTATCGACCACTGCGTGACTGGTGGTCCGAGTTTTGGGGGGCTGCCGTAGATTCAGGACCTCACTCACCCCCACCCCTTGGCGTGTAGAACATCTGCATCTTTGAGCTCTTGGTTCCATCTTGGGACGTCAAGGACACACACACCGATGGGTTTGTATACTCAATAATACTAATACTCATCTGGGACAACTTCAAGGACAACAATCAATCATACTCATCATAGGCTTGTATATTTTTCAGTTTGCCGATTCCCCAACCCATCCCAACCCAAGGGGCTCCCAAAACCGGTCCAAATGCGAACGTGCGAACGTGCCCCTTCCGAACGCGGAACTGTTCGCCGAACCCACCACCGAACCGAACCCACCATGTCGACCGGATCAAAGGTGCACTGGACCGGATCTTCTCCCACTCCGTGGGCTTCACCAGCTTGCGCAAGCCTCGGCGAAGGCATGGCGTAAGCGATGGCGTAGTAGACGCGAGCGTCGACCGTAGTAGACGGGAGGTTGCAAGGGCGAGGTGCGGACGGCACGTGGCGTGGTTGACACACCGGTGGCGTGGCTCGGTCAAAGCATGTATGCGCCGTTTGGTATGGCACCTCCGAGGTGGATCTAGGAATTCGGCGAAATGGGCGAATGGGGTGGCCGGGACTTCAAAACGGATCGTCCCTCGAAGATGCTCTGACAAATCTTCTCATGGGGGCTTGTTGACTGAAAAAAACACTGTTCCCGGCCTTTTGGTGGGCGCTCGATGTCAGGCGAGTCAGGCAAGTCAGGGAAACACACAAGAGCGACTCAAAAAAGATCTGCAGGAAGAATAGCACACCACCAATGCCCAGATGTTGGAGGCCGCTGGAAAGAAAAACGCTCCAGGTAGGAGCATAAACATCATAAACCTATATGAGCAACAGCCTTCTGATCCTTACATATCATCCGTATACCTTCTACACCACAACCATTGGTGGATTTCCCATGAACCAGCCATGGATGCTCATCAACCCACCGACTTGTTGATACACAGGACTTTGAGACTCTACAAGTCGACTTCATGGGCACCCTTTTACGCCCCCCATTGGGTGCCCCAGGGCACGCTCCGCCGGGGAACCACCCGCCGGATGGCTCGGTTCACTTAGAAGAAACAGCACTCATGAACCACCGGGCTGGTTCGCACCTGTGCTTTCCACCTGTGCAAACAACACGGAACAGCCAAGGTCCCTGGGATCTCCACGGTGTCTCTAGGATCCGTCGCCGGTAGCGACCGTCTCCAGAAAACGGGACACCCAGCGACCCTCCCCGGTAGCGACCGTAGCGAGGTCCCGTCGCCAGTAGTGTGGCGAGTGTAGAGCTTTTTCGATTGTTTTGGAATTCCAGGAGTTCCCAAGTGGTGGTTGTCAAGTATAGTGGGGAGTGTTAGAAACTATACTGGTAGAGACAAATCATGACAAATCCATTTGTTCAGCCACTTTGAAAAAGCTGCAAATGAATTCCAAGAAGCTAGGCATGCCACATTGCATGCCCTCCACCAAGTCGTCACGAAGCTCCCCCTCTTCTTCTTCCGCCCGAAAGATGCGTTCGAAGTTCAAGTGCACCTGCTGTACATCCTGTGTTGCATGATTGATCGCAAACACCGAAAATCAAAGTTGAGAATTCCTGCAATATCTGCCATGCTGGCAGTGTCCTTGCCTGATAGTTCCCCCAATTTCGACTCAAACATGAATCCTTGGACAATTTGGTATGCAAATATGTATAAAAATATATACCTCTACCAATACTTCCAAAACGGGTGCCTATTGGAGGATAGGGGTGCTCATTATCCACTCACTTAGAGGCTAAATACCACCTCTTTGACTCCTGGTATATATATATATAAATACACTGTACATATATGCCTTTTTTTTCTGGGGTCGTGCCCTAGGGCACTTTTGAGGCAGCAGGACAGTCAATACGAGCTAAGCCGACCCAAGCAATGCTTGGTTCGATGAAGGTGGCCGGAGTGGTCTCAGAAAAAGGAAAACCAGACATGCAAACAATGAACCACAGTAGTGTGTACCTTGGACTGACTAGGACTTAGGATGAACCACTAACATCCACTAACTCATTGGGCCATAAGTGCCTCCCAAACCTCGCATAAATAGGTCGGAATTGAAACAACTGGGCAGCTTCACGATGGGTCGGCTCCTGGACTCCTGGTGATTGATGGATCCTGCTGTCTGACAGCTGTAAATTCTTCAACCCATCACGTGCGTATGGGTACTTCTCAAGAAAGAGGAGAGCTGTCGAATCGCGGATAATTTGGAGGGTCCCCGGTGTTGGAAGAAAAAGACATGATCTCGAAACCTTTGTGTCCTGAAGCTCGGTCGTCACATCCACAAGCATGGTGATCTCCTGCAATTCAGGACCTGATGTCGGCTGTCACAAGAAACAAGTCACACTGAATGAGTCGACTCGTCGACTCGTCGACTCTTGCTGACATGGATTTGTTTTCTTGGGGTCGAACCAAACCCCAAGAATAGCGTCTGAATGCCATCATCATCCAATAGAACAAAAAAAGGGTCCAAGCTTGAAGATGGATGGCACTCAATTGCACAAGACTTGGCACTCCTTCTTTTCACACCCTTTAATCATTTTGGAAGCAATCAACACCTAAACTTGGACCAAACAATCTGATCTGATCTGCACCTTTTTCTATACAAAAAGCGGCGCCCCATGTAACTCCAAGTCCGCCAAAAACGCAAAGTCTCAACTCTCGAGATGTCGAAACCCTTCTCTGTGTTCCAATCTACCATCCCAAACACTCCATGTATATGATAAAATATATATATATATAACTATATATATATCATTATGGATCTATATATTGATATATATAATATATAATATATATATAATATATTTAATATAGATATATAATATATATAATATATGTATATATAGCTATATATGCATATATATATATGCTATATTTATTTGTTGGGGTGGTTGAAAAGAGGTCAATCTGGGGCATTGTCTTTTTTTCCGGCCGAGGGACAAATGTTCTGAAGACATGAACTTCTGCCTGTGCTCCCAGAGATGGTCGAAGCTCTCCCGTCTGGTCGGCAGGTTCGGCCCTTGGCACGGCTTTCACCAGTGCCCCACTTGTTCAGGAGGATGGAAGGCACTGTGTCTTCCTCAGCCTCCGGCAGCGGACGAGGTTCTGAATCCTCTTTGAAGGCAATCCTGAGATTCGCGATGTTCCAAGAGCGGCGCGGCAAAAAGCCGCGGCAGAAAACATCATGGGACACGTTCCTACCACAAACACACAGTGCGTCAATGATGATTCAAAGGAAAGAAAAACCGTAAAGCAAAACACCTCTTTTTCAGCATCCCGAGAATCAAGTGGTAGGGGTCGCTGGAACCAAATAGCCCTGGTACAGGCACATGGTAAATATCTGCAGCAACTCGTATACCTGCCACGGGCTTCGGCGACCCCTTCGATTCAAGACGAAGGCCGACCCGAGAAATCGGGTCGCTTCATCGTCGATGGTACGAGCGACCCAGTCGCTTCATCGAGGTGGTCGCCCATCGGTGAGGATGTGCCCAGGAAGCTGGTGGATTTTTCTGGGCGTCACAGGAAGCTCTTGGACAACTGTTAACAGCGAGGTTTCTGCGGAACGAGCACACCCCGCCTGCTGATCCACGGAAAGACACCCGCAGGCAGAGGGGCAGGAAGTCCTTTGACTCCGGTGTGCCCAAAGTCTGCGTGGAGGTGTGAATGAACTCGAGAAAACGATGCTGTTCCTCGTCCACGAGCAACTGTTGGAAGGACCGGCCTTTGAGGCTCACATTGGTCAAAATCAGATGCTTCAGACACTGGCTTTCCTGCGGAACAACGACTTCGAGGCAATGGTTGCGGGCCCAACAACATGATTGGTTGCTCATCCATTGAAGGAACTTATGATGTTACAGTTCACTGAAGTCAAGCAACAACTTGTGCCCATGGACACGTTTTGTTTTTTGAAAGCCCTGAGGTTCAACGTTCAACGAATTTAAACATCTTAAATCTAAACATGTTGGATATACCTCACACAGAACCACGTCGGAACAAAGAAAACAAGACCACAAGACAGTGAAACAGTCACTTGTGCCACTTCCCCATCACCTGCATGGTTTTGAGATGTTTGATGATGTTTTGCGCTGCCTGGGCAATGTTCATCTGGCTATCCAAGAGCACTTCCCCATCACATGCGCCTCTCAAGACACGTTGAAAGCCTTGGATGGAACGAACCCGTCGACGTCGTCGCGCATCCGCTCCATCGGAGAGAGCTTAAGGATGCCACATGCTCCGTGGTGGAGCTTCAAAGAAGCCGATATCATGTGCGGAAATCGATGTGACGCGCCCATACGCGCCCTGGCGGATCGATTTTTTGGCAAGCAAAATGCCCAGTTCCTGTAAACCAAGATCGCCTGCTGCAAAAACACATTCTTCGCAGCCTACACATTCAAGCACCAAGAAAACCCTTGCCTTTGCATACCTCATTGAGTAATTTGGTTTCTTGATGGTTGCCAGTTAGTTTGAAGTCACATGAAACACGAGTGATTAGGATAAACTATTAGGCTTCAAACACCAACGGACTATGTTTGTTGGCGGGTCTCCTTGTCCCACTGACAATGATTAAATGTTGTTTTTGCTTCATTAGTCAAACTCCTTTTGCAGTATCTTTTAGACTGAATTCCCCTTTATATACACTCTTTTTTAGTTTCCTGTTATACAAGTCTTTATGTCCTGTTGAATTCCTTCCCAATGCGTCGAATGTCTATTGTTTTAACTGTCTTGTTGAATTTGTGTTCAATTTCCTTCTATTTTGTGTCTTGTGTTTCCTTCAACATGTCGCTTTGATTTCCTGTTGGATCTCTATTTCTTTGAAGTCTCCAAAAAAACAAACCCGAGTGAGACACCAAAAGCCACCAACCACCCAACGCCAAGAAACCATAAACCCAAAGCCAAGAAACCACAGAAGCAAACGCCAAAAGGCAACCGTCACCAAAGCCAAGACCAGAACCCACCAAACCTACATGACAAAACAGAACAATGATACCAAATCAAACCGCAGTCAGTATACCTTCAGATATCTTCAAATTGATGGTTTGTAGGTTCAACTCTTGCGAAAGCGCAAGCAACCACTACTTGATCGTCCAAAGAAGATCTTTCACACACTCAAATGACTAGATAGGGAAAAAAAGAACATCTCCTAATCTCCAAAAGCAGCTTTTGGGGCTCTTGGGCTCTTGAAGGAGTTGTGGTCGAATTAGCCCATCCCACTTGACCTCCCAAATCCAAGCAGCTGGAGACCAAGGACTCGGCGTCCGCCGTGTCCAGCAAGGCTTCGAAGCGGCCCCGCAGCACCAGGTGGATGAAGACGGAACTGGAGATCGTCGCGGTCAACGTGAAGAATTGGCTGACCTGAATGGGGCGATGGTTTTGGTTCGGCAAACAGCTGACCTGCGTGGGGCTAACCTGGCTGACCTGAAGAAAAAAAGCATGAGAAAAAAGCACGTGAGCCATAGAAATTACGCCGGCACAGACCCCAGATAGCGGGTGTATAGGGAAAAGACTCATAGTGCCTGATGCATGTATTGCCTTGTGGATCCTTGAGGTATGCATCGTTTCCCTTCCTGGCTGAAATGGTGTCATGCCAGCATCCGCACCAGCACCCACACCAGCACCAGCACCTGCACTTCCCAAGAAAACTCCGATCCAGCGACAGCACCCGCACGAGCACGCCCCGAGCAAACGCCGATCCAGCACCAGCACCCGCGCCAGCACCCAGCACCAGCACAAGCACGGGCAAAGCGAAGCGCCGATCCAGAGCCACACCATTGAGAAGTAAGAACCCCTATAGCTTGCAGCTATCTGGGGAAAAAGGAAAGATCTTCACCGACCTTGACCTTGTGCACAAGACAAGGTCCAAGAGATGCCAACGCCAAAGTGCACAAAGCCAAGTCCATTAAGAATAGCCAAGAACACAGAATGGGACCACCAAATTCATGGTTCATGGACCATCACCAATGTCAACCAAAATTATGGTTTGTATTGTTTCGTGAAACACAGGTTGATTAGTCTAAACCGTGTATAATATATATATATGTATGATTAAATATATTATATATATAATGTTGTATGTATACAGAAACCAACAGAAACCTCTAAAACAGAAGCCAACAGAAACCTCAACAGAAACATAAACCTCAAGATCCTATGATTCCAACCTCTAAAAATTAACAGGTTCTTTGTAGTAACAGTGCTTAAGAGGTCACTACTGGGCACCCAATGGAGGATGCTGGTACATATATATATATATATACACACATACCAACAGAATGAAGCTTCTCTAAACGAGATTCGCCATGGAGCTGATCCTAAAAGTAGATTTCCGCCAAGCGAAATCCCATCAAGAGATCCCCTTTGCTGGGTTGAGAAGTTGGAGTATCTCCCAGGTTCAGATCCAAATGTCAAAAGCCTGCTCTTGTCAAGCCCAGGTCACACACAAGGGTCCCAGTTCCAGGCTCGACTGGTCAAAAACAAGGAGGTGCGCTGACCTTGCCGGCTTTGAAAGGATAGCTGAAATGCTGAACACCTAATGCAACAACTATTTATTATACATCCTCAGAAGGCAATTGTCACCCCCAAACCAAACACCGCCGGAAACGGAAGATAAGCCCTGAGGGAGCAAACAACAACATGGCACCAAAAAAAGCCCTGGAGGTTGCATCGAAGGGCCGAAGGCCTGCAGAGGAAGTTTCCAGGAGGTTGGACAATGGAAATCATTGGAATATATTGGGAATCAGGACGGAAGCCTTCCCTCTTCAGGGCTTTTCCGGAAAGCTGGTCTTCGTTTTGGCGTTCTTCGGTGCCGGCACCCACAGAGCGAAAAACCTCGGTTCCATCGGTCGCTTTGTCGGTTGAGGGAGGGTGTTTTGGGTCCCAGCAGCATCTCCATGGCGGTGTAGAGCACTTGGAAAGGGATCGACATCCATGGGTCCAGAAAGACGATGACTGGGCAAAAGCGCATGGCCGCTGCGATGCTTTGCAAGACCGCGAATCGGAAGGTGGTCTCACTATGTGCGGAGCTGATGATGAGCAGGATCTTCATCAGGTGCATGCAGAAGCTTAAGCACTTCAGTCGCTGCGGGGTGAGCCCGACCCTCTCACTGGCAATCAACAAGAATTGCAAATAACTCATGATGCCTTGGATTGGGATCCACTTCAAACCATCACCTTCCCTCGAGTTTCCAGAACTTTCACCTGTAAAGAAAATATCCGCTGCACAAAAAAAAAGCGGAGGCCCTAAAACATGCAACCTGCACCTGCCTGGATTATTCCGCGAACCAAAAAAAACAAAGAAAGACTGGCCAGCAATAAGGATGCAAAAGAAGGCCCAAGTGATGGTGTCACATCCAGGTTTTTGAATCGCTTCATGGACCAATCCCAAGGCCGTCAACAGGTTGAAGTGACAAGCGCAACGGCTGATGGCCTCAGGTTGGCAACCCACCAGGTGACCACCGGTGCGAAACGCGGTTCACAACCAAACACATCCAACACCAACACCGGTTCGGGTGTCCAGTGCCTCTGTTCAGACCCCGAAGCAACCCTATGCACTGCCACCTTCGGTACGGTGATTGGAGAACCTGAGGTACGGTGGCAGTGGATCCCTATGGATGTGGATCCGGGCGAGCCAATAAGCATCCCTGTTCCAACAACTCCTGGAGTCAGCATTTCGGGTGGGCAGGGATGTTGCGATGCTTACTTGTTCATCCCCCACTCAAAGGCGTTGGCGTTCTTGTTGCAAACCTGCCTTGTAGTTCCTCTGACGAAGCTTTTCGAACTCTTCAGCCACCCTCGCTTCCTTCACTTCGTCCGCCTGGCAACTCCAAACAAAAAAAATTAAAAAGCGGGTGCGAACAGAAACAAGGTGAGTTGGGGAACCCCAAAGCAACACCACAAAGGACAGTTCTACAGACATTCTACATCCAGCATTCAGGTCACATTTACATTGTCACGCTCAATAACAAAACGTCAATCCAAATCCTGCTGGCACGTTGTCTCTTTGACACCCGTTTGTTTCACAAACATCGTCCGTGTCAAAGGTGGTGCGCTCAAGCCCCGTCAAGCGGCCCCCGCTGGCTCCTCCAGCAACACAGGTTCAACGGTGCCAACGTGTCTTTTCTCTCGATCGCCCTGCCCAAAACGGCCCCGAACTCGGGACACATGTGATCCTTCGTCCCATTCGTCCTCCATCATGCCCTGTCCGCGACCAAGCATCCTCGCTCACTTCCCTTCATGCCCCACCGCAGGCTTCGTCAGTGCTTTGGGGAGCAAATCCAAAGATCCAAACTACAACCCCGGCTTTGACTGGTTCCTTCGGCCAGAGCGTTCAACCATGTTCAACCTCTTCTAGGATCCATTCTTGCTGTCCCAATCAGCTACTTGCAAGAATTAGCTTTGCAAAAAAGCTGCTTTTCCGAAATTGGCCACATGGTTCTTGAATGTTTCTTGCATGACCGTCGTCGGTGTTTTGTTCCAGCAAACATGCACAGTCCCCTTCCTCTCGTGGTTTTTCCCCCCCACAGACCCCACGGACCCCACCGGAGGCGGCCGTCACCTTGAGCTGCCAAATGGAGCCAAAGCTTGGAAGGTTGGCCAAACAGTGTCGTGACAACCACAGGTGCACCGGTGCCCAAAGAGCAGCTAAGGTCAGCACTGAGCACAGGGCGTCCATTGTTTCGCCGAGACAACGCCCGTCGCTGTGTTGCAGGATCTGTCTGTGACAAAAGTTGAGTGGTCCGTGTGATTTTTGCTCTGTGGTGAGTTTGGAGTGTCTGGCTGCGTGTGAGCTGCCTCTTGAGCCTGATCTGTGAGGCATCACATCCTTAATTACTCAGCCATGATTGGAATAGTTATAAAATGTTACATCCGCACCTATATTACGGTCACCAACAAGGTAAATGTATGTAACTATTCCATCCATGGATGGTCTGGGTCTTTTCATGATCTGCCCAATCGTTCCAAAATCGTTCCAGCAATCGCTCTAGTAGCTGGGTCGTGCGTCGCTTGCCCGCAAGCGCGACCCTGCTCAGCCCAGCTCCCACCCACTTTGTTCCCGACCAAAACATCCACTGAGGCAATTGCCAGCTGCTCCTGCACGATGTCTTTCACCGTCTGCACATCGAAGTTTGAGGCCTCCGGAAGAAGAAAAGAGAGTCGTTTTTTTTGCGAAACTGGCTGTGCAAACACAGAGAAAAACCTTGACCAAGAAAGAAACCTATCTACTGTATTATAGAAGTTAAATGTGTTTACATAATATAGCATCGTGTCATTTGGCAAATTGATTGGGTGCTCAAATGCCTCCACCAAGCTGACCATTGATGGCACCAGCGCATGTGCAACCAACCTAAAGCAGTGACACCTCTACCATTTAGTAACCTTATGTCCATAAAGCAAGAGCTTGAAGGACTGGCAAAGGCAGTGAAATGATTCGACTGATGGCAGCATTGTTGAATCGGACATCGTATGGTATTTTCATAAAACTGTTCAGAATATAAAATCGTACCCCCTAAGTACCTGTTCGAACACATGTACAGTTGAAACGCGGCCAACCAGTACCCTGCTTTGACTGCCGTATTTTGTTGGAAAGAAACTTGACGAAGAAGGTCTTCAGGGTAAGATCTGATCACATGACCAAATAGGTTCACTTTCTGGAAGCCTGGGCTAAATATTAACCTTCATTAAAATATCTATAAATCGCCCTGACTTGGTCTTTATGCCGCAGCACACTGAAAGCGAACACCGCGCCACGTTGGAAGGCATGGCCGATCGATCAACGGGTGAAATCATGGCCGTTGGGGCTATAGATACCGCACAGTTTTCGGAGCAGGGTGGTTTCAACTAACTTGAGCCCGCCGGCCTGCCGGCGTGTCTTGTGGATGTTCTTGTACTTGTATGCTTATATGCTCTTGTCTAGTACTTGCATTGTTCATCATTTTCGTTAGGTTGCTCCTCCGTGTGGATGTTGTTTACACCAAACCAAGGTTTACACCAACCACCATTTGCACCCAGCCACGGTTTGCACCAACCGCGGTTTACACGCTGGTCAGGACCGACCTTGTTTCTCTTAGTCTTGCACTCTCAGAGTCTGACGAACACATTGCACATGGAAGTGGAAAATTGTTAATTGGAAGACTGCCTTCCAACGAAACGAACAGGGAATGTTCCACCCCCATGTGATGTCTTCAGAGAGTAGTGGACTACAGTGGACGACCAACTTCAGCTGTGAACCTGAACCCGACTCCCATCCGATCCCTTCTGATCGGTCGATCGACCCGACACATGGCTCTCGACCGTTTCGGCCTCACCCTTGGGGCTCATCGCTGGAGTCGTGCGGAGTATCCTCTCCGCAGAAGGCGTGGGAGGCGTGCTGTGGCGAGCCTGAACAAGGTGACACAGAGACTAGAAGTGAATCCTCCGATAAGCCGTTCTATGATAAGTTTTACCAAGAATTGATAATTTTAAAAATATACATGCATATATATATATATATATATTATGGTCATTGATTTGCTGTACCAATCCAGGGTCCACGAGAGGTCGAGAGGTACCACCTTCAGATTACTGTCTTGCTTATACAATTGAGGCGGGAAGGTCACGGATAATGTTTCATTATTATGGTCCTTCATACCTCTAGAATGACATGATTGAAAATTTCCATCACCAGGAATGCAATCTCACCCCAAGAACCTCAGACACCGGACCTGTTCCGAACTTGGATACCGATTCATCCCAGAAGTATGGTGCCCTGCTGACTGCTGGGTGTTTTTAAAATCTCAGCCCAAATGGCAAACAGATCCGTTTTAGCACGACATCATGTCTGAAAAATGAGATGCGCAGGAGTGTGTTCAACTCGCGAACGGGCGATGTCTACGCGTGTCTACGCCCCCGTCGTTTACCGCCCTCGTTCCAAGCGTCGACCAGGTCGGACCGATGGTCGGACCAATGGAGCATGCAATTTCAGGCTTCCTTACAAATGGAAAAACAATGAAAAACATGGTCCCCTCGAAAAACAGCTGAGTTGGATGACTCAGGATGACCATCCTCATCCATCCTCATACCCAAACAGCTGGTGATACCCTCAACACCCTCCACCTCGTGTTTTCATGCGTTTTGTCGGAGCTCCACTCCAATTGGCATGGGGGACTGAACTAAACAAATGAAGAGTAGCATCCTTGCTCCTAGTAGAAAGGCCAGGAGCCCCTAATAGCTTCCTTGCTCCTAGTAGCGATGCCAGGAGCCCCTAGTAGCTAGATTGCCCGAGTACAAGAAAAAGTATAGAATCGCTTGAAATATATTGATGGATCAGTAGCGTCCTTGCTCCGTTTGTAGCGATGCCCTTGTTACTAGTAGCGAACATTGTTCCTAGTAGTAAGGCCAGGAGCTACTAGTAGCGTCCTTGCTACATAAATGTTTCTATATTTCTTAATACATATATGGTATACAGTATACTCTCAGTATACCTCTATGCTGCTTGATGTTTATCATAGAAACAGCTTGACCATCTGCAATTCACGGGGCGTTCTTCTTATCTCTCGTCCAGCGCTCACCTCTTCACCGTCTCTCGCCCAGCCTGAGGCGAACCCGGCACTTTCAGCCTCGGCGGATGGACTATAAGCAGAATTCCTCTGACACCAAGGCACATCCAAGATCTTGGGACAAAACACGGAGGATGCTCACATTCCATAGAACCCCGGCTACATGTTTATAGTACCCTGCAAAAACGGGTGGATGTCGCCAACTCCGGCTCATCCTTTCTTTTGAGCATCACCTATGGAGTAAACCCTCATGAAGCATGACCCGGATCCAGTCACCTCCACAATTCCGGAAGGTAGCTTCGTTCACACAGTAGCCAGGAAAATAAACACTCAAAGTTCTTTTTACCAGCAGCTTTTCGGGTCCTGGATGCCTTGCTTTGTTTTATTTGTATGTTATATGTTGGGAGTGCGCCTGATATACCCTATAGCCTGTCCATCCCCTGGTTGTGTTGTCTAGAATCAGAATCCCTAGTAAATTCATGTACAGTAAATTGATCCTTGTTCTGGAAGCATCATTCGGCTAGATGTCTTGTTCCTCTCGTTGGCCACCCCTTGGTTCCTTTGACCAGTTCCTCGTGCTTCACCAAGTGCTTCACCTCTCTCTCTTTGGCGACTCAGCACCTGACCACCGCTGGCAGACACAGCAACTCACTGGGTAGCGTCCACCCGATCGCGACCGTGAGGACGATGAACAAGACCGGCTCCGCCGAAGAAGGGTCGCCGAAGAAACTGGTTGGATCGGTCTGGATTCCAACACAGTTCACTGATCTCAGCCTGCTGATTTTCAGACGGTGGGTCGCTGTGGCCAATCAAAGAACAACATGCTAATACTGACTAGGTTCTGGAAAGTGGTCCGTTCATGGATCCTATGTCTGGCTTGAGTCAAGGAACCTTTGGGACTCCAAGAAACTTAGACCAATCCCCAAAACCTGCCCTTCTATCAAACTGTGTGCCAACACGCTTTTTTGAAGGATCCCAATCCAGATCGAGTCACGAAGAATCAAGAATCCACCAGAAGTATTTCTGCCTTCGATCCAGTGACCCATTGTCACCCAAGTGGTGAGCTGGAGAGCTGGTTCACCTGCCAAATGATTCTAAATGACTAATGACTCACTTTCATCTGCCCCAGGGGTGGTTGAAAAAGGGGAATCAATGTGTCAGGCAAAAATTCATCAAACATCCAGGGCTTTGGTGTGACCAACACGGTCTGCATTGTCCGGTCTGCCCTCTCTGCCTTAAAGAGACTTGCTGAGCTCGCCAACAAGAGAGGGAGAAAATCTCCCGACATATCCCGACCAGTTTGGAGATCACAGGAGAACACCTCAAGAGAGATACGACCTCAAAGAATCCTCCAAGCCTGACATTCGAAGAATCCTCAAAAAGAATCGTCAAGGAATTCTTTGGGCCCCAAAATGCAAGCTCCGAGCACCCCCGCCCCACCGTGGAGCAAAACCGTTGGGCCGTGGACCAAAACCAAAGCTCCAGGAGTCGGAGTTGACCGAATGTTCGCAGGAACGTCGGACGACCTGTTAAGTATAGGTCCAATGTTTCTAGGTTCATGAAATCCATTGAACATCCCACGTCCTAATCATATACTTGGTCGCTGAAACGATGACCCAATGTTCACCGGCTAGAGGAATGTACCCCACTTTTCACAAGGATTCAAAAGCTCCAAAACGTTGCAGGTTAGGTCTTCAGGTGATTAAATCCCGAAGTCCAATGATTTCCACCCACTTCTGCACCTTTGCTGCGCGATGAAAGCGGTGTGGAGGTGACGAACATGCGTTGCTCCTGGTTGGATTCACCAGGGCTGCATGGTTGAGGTATGCCACAACATGTCTTTGAATGGGAATAACCCCCGACAAAATAACCGTTTCGTATGCAATTTAAACTCTGTATACTTCCCACCGTGGTGGCACCATCTGGAGACCTCATTTGGAACATGAGGTGTCTCTTCTTCAGTTCTGCTCTGTGAAATAGAACAAAAATCCTCCCACAACATGAGTTGCTTAATTGTTTGATGGTCTCAGATCCAAGGGCATGAGCTGAGCAACTTTACGGTCAACATAAAAGGCCACGGAAATGTCAGTTTAAGTGATTCCAGGTACAAGTACAATCAAAGAAAGTGATAATCTTCTACACAGATTTCACAGAGGGGAGGTCACATGTTGGTGTTGTTTAAAAATATGTGCAGGGACTGATTCCTACCTGGAAAAGAGGTCTAAGGTAAGCCAACCTACACTCATGAGAGGGCACAGAAGGTGACCTGAGTAGCTAACTGCCCAGTTCGATCATCTCCTCTAGGACAAATGAGCAAAGCAACCAACAAATGTAGAATCAGTGGTATGTCTGTTCTCTCAGTTGTAGTTAGTTGTCACCAAAATACATAGAACAAAATCGCCGTGCTCCATGCAATAGGGTTCTAGATTCTTCTACTAAACGTCCTATTATTTGTCTGACGAGTTCGAGGTCATGTGCACGAATCCAACCCATCCAGCTGTGCACTACAATCCCCCGGAGTCCCCACCTGTTGAGGTGCAGGTTCAAGCAGAATCTGCTTGGCTCCTCGAAGCTCGGAGTCGGATCAGACAGGGGAATTGGATGGAACTGGGACCTCTGTGTGGTTCACCCACTCCCTGCGTGAGGACGGACAGTTGGGAACAAAGAGGGGTCAAAGGCCCTGAAAACCGAAGGACAGATTGATGAGGATGTATGATATGTGGGGAGACCCCATTTACAACCACTCTGGAACCTTATGTTTGCAGCGCTTTGCAACCCCTTGCCATAACCTTTTTCTTCCCCTTCAGCATGGAAGAGTGGTTTCAGTTCAACGTTCTCGCTGGGGCGACTGCATGCCCGGTGCGTCTGCCAGCTCACCGTTTGCTGTTTCAACTTCCCGCAGCTCACCGCCTCATCTCACCATGTGTTTGGGAGGCGCTCCACGTGATTCCAAAAACGTGATTCCCCACGCTCCATGAGTTTCATGGTCATAGCTACTAGCAGAGGTCACTTTGAGTGACGAGAGAGTGACTTCGAGTGACTATACAGGTGGATGGAGATGTGCAAAATCCAATTCCAGTGGTCGCTTTTTGCTGCCAAGATAAACATACATCTAGGGTATACATGGGAATATCCCATTACCAGGAATTTGGATGATGCTAGGTTGTAGATCATATTAGTGATACGTGTTTACCGACTTGTTACAGGTCATGTAGACTCTTGATTGATAACCCCCCATATGTAGAGGCTGTTCAATCCAAATGGGGTGGGTGTGAATCAAGATTCTACATTCATGGGACAAACCCACAACATATCTCATCTGCCAAGAGCAGACCGAGTCTCTCCGACAGTTTTGGATCCAAAAGCTGGAAAGGCTGAGTCGCACCTGTTCCATCTGTTCCTGTTTTTTTCCATCCATTCGCCCCAACCGCCCATGGATCACAAAAAAAGAACGGTGAAGACCAACGAAAACACCACATCCGTGCAGTTGATCAATGGGTGGTACAATGTGGTACCTTTAGTTCAGAAGGTCGAGCTTGAAAAAACCACACGCCAATGGCCAACCACTCCGCTTGCGATTCTGAAGCGAATTCTTTGGGGCACCCGGACCTGGGGCTCCATGCCATGGGACACGCAACGCCTTTCGTCTGTCGCGCAACGCCTTTTCTTCGCGTCGGGAACTCGTGGAAGCACCGGAAGAGGTGGTGTCGCCGGACATGGCGGGTTGATGAAGGCCCCACCATGGCGATGAGTCCAAGAAAAGAAAAGAAAAGAACCTCCTGGCAGCATGAGATAGATTCTAGATGAAGTGTTCTGGAACCTATGAGAATACCAATGGAATAGGGACCTGCGCCAAAGGGTCAGGTGCTGCTGTCGAAGATGTTGCTCATTTTGTGCTAAAGGCCAGGGGCTGTGGAGGTTGGTTTGGACAACCATTCTTCAGTTCATCCGTACTTCATTGAAGTGGGTTACAGGATAAGGACCAAACGTTTTTCCCCAGTCTGGTGGTCACAGCAACTATTATAAAGGTTTCCCATGTCATCCGTTTGAATCCCTACTGTCCTTCATGTGGGAACCTGGCCTTGACACCTTCCCAGAAAACTTCATTGGCCCCTCCTATGCTACTGGCTCTAGGCATAGCCCAGACTGCCAGGGCCCAAAGGCTACCCAAGGTTGGACACGCCGTATGTGAAAAACACCGGACCACCACCCTGCATGTCCTCATATGTCCTCACCCTGCCTGTGGTGAAAGAGATGCAGCTAAAGCCAGTTGCCTGAGGGCTTGACAGCGGTTTGAGCAGTGCTAGTGACTGCTAGTGTCCCAAAGTCTGAAAAGTTCCTCTTGTGTTCCTGTGGTTTTGACAATTATTTGGAGCACGTTAATAAAAATCATGTGTCCACCTAAGTTGGTTAAAAAAACATGAGTGTTCCATTGGTGCGTTTTTTTGCATTTTGCGTCCGCTGGTGTCTGGGTTTCAGACGTATTTTTTGGGGTGTGTTTGTCCATGCGTGTTTGTGGTTGTTGGGGTGCATGCTATATGCAAATGCTACAAAGTGAATCCTTCCCCCCCTATATGTGTTTTTTTGGTGGCCAAAAAAATGCACTTGAGCATTGTTCCTCAATATGTGCTCTTTTTCCGGAGCAAAGAAGGCATTTGGTGGAAAAAGGGGCATTTGGGGTTCGAACCTAGATTCTCAGATGCATTTGCACACCTACAAAAAAAGCATCCACAGCACCGATGACTTGAAATCTGAACCTCAAAGGGCTTAAAGGCCCTTGCGTTTGCTTCAAGGCCGCTTGATTGAAAATACGTTGCGTGTTTTTAGGGCGTCGCGTGTTCAGACACCTTTGGTATCCACTGGTAAGTCAGTCTTTTTCGTTATCATCTCATCTCACCTGCCGCCCATGCTTGCGCATGAAGGCAGCCTCCTGGGCCTCAAAATGCCAAGCTCATGCTTTAGTTGAGTGCGTCTGCGCTGAAATTGAAACTGGAAAGCTCAGGCTGCGATGGTGCGTGACATGCAGAGTGGAAGTCTGTGGGCATTGCGACGATATCATCCAAAACGACCATATAACGCATATAAGATATATATGTTTAATGGAATCAGCGGCACCTCGGTGGCATAGATGGTGGGGCGAAGCAACGGGTCATTCTTTGATCTCTGAATTTTTGGAACTAGTCTAGAAGGGCCGACGCCGACACCGGCTGAAAATACTGTGGCCAGAGAATGGATTTTTCAATCGCTGTGCAAAATACATCAAAATACACTTTCCGAACGTAGCATGTCGCCAAAGGCCCCCCAACACACCGTGAAGAAGCAGGAGTTGCCTGACAAATCAAGTCAAAACTGAAGCAAACTCGGTCAAGCAGGTTGACGCCAGCAAATAAAGCGCCCTGGCAACCACAGGTCTGCGGATGGCCTGGAATGACGCTTCAGGGTTGTAGACATGCGCTGTGGCGAGCCCTTTGCACAACTAAGGGTGTAGCCATTTTGGGATTGCTCTCCTTTGTCTGCAAATGACACGCTTGCAGCGACACTTTTGAAACACAACGTGTTTCGTTTTGTTTGGCTCTTATACCAGCCCCAAAAGTCCTACCCAACGAAATGGACAAATGGGTGCCTGACGTAGACGGCACAGTGTGTTTCAATTTTGACTCCTCAAAACTGATTCTTGAGGTTTTCGCCAACATCAGAGCAGCCCGACAAAGGTTCCAAGTCTTCAGAAAGTCCCTAGTAGCGTCCTTTGCTCCGTTCATAGTAAGGCCAGGAGCCCCGATCGTAGCGTCCTTTGCTCCGTTCGTAGCGATGCCAGGAGCCTACTAGTAGCCAGTCTTCAGAGATCATCTTAGTCCCTGGAACCTCGAAGGCGTTGGACGGCGGCGTCCGACAGTTTCCTGAGCTCGCTGCATCCCTTCTGGCCACGAGGGGCAAAAGTCCGCGACCAGCAAGCTCAGCTCCTGTTCCATGGAAAACATGTCCTCATGACTGTTGAAATTGAAGAACATGGCGCTGGGGATCCTAAATACCTTCTCAGAAGGTATATGGACCCTCCAAGCCTACATAAGTGTCGAACACATCACCGTCTTAGAGGGCGGCAGTGGATCCATAAAAATAGCCAGTGGATCAATACACCAGTTTAACCAGTTCTGTGGACTTGCCCACCAGTTCAACCAGTGCTTTGGACTTGGCATATGCCATCCAAACTCCCCTGCAAGTCTTTAAAGGACAACAACCAAACCTGCAAGTCCTGGGTCCGCTTTTTCAGCCACCGAAAGGGTCGAGCCAACACGTTCTTGAGCCAACATGATCGCCATGCTCACACTATGCAAGGAAAATAGCACCAGTCTCAAACACTAATGCCAGTCATGCTGTCACACAAGGGGGGTAAGGGGGGATATCATCATGAGCTGTTCTCACACTCGGTACGAGCGCCTGCAAATAGTCAAACCAGGGTGCTCTTTGTGGATGTTGATGACTACTGACTTGCTTGACCCACCATCCAAATGCAGGGGGTTGTACCAGTTTACATGTTTGCAGGAATTCTTCCGTCAGCATTTGGGTTCAGGCCTACCATGTCTGAAAACCCAACAAGAATAGGCCCTAGGTGTTGGGAGTGTCAGACTGCCGGGTGTGCTAGCAGGTGTCATGGATCGGCACCCCCGATCTGCGCGGCGTCTCCCAAACGCCGTCGCCGGCCGTCCGGCGGCCGGGCGGTGCCTCCGACTCCACCAGTTTGGAGAAGCGAAGGAGGTACTCCAGGATCTGCGACGTGAGGGAGACGTCCACGTCGTGCGGGTTTGAGTTGAAAAACACCATAAATCATCCGAGTGATGGGACCCCACAATTTCGGAAATGATTGGGTTTCACTCAGGATGATTGAGGCTGAGCCAAAACCTTCTTCGGCACGGATCCAGCGCCAAGAAACAAGACAAACCAACACGTCCGGACGTGCTCCTTCCTGTCGTGCCCCTGTCGTGTCTCTCGGCCCTCAACCGCTTCGCCACGTCCGGTGCACGACCGGTTCCGTGCGGCGCGGCGGCCTCGTCGTCGAAGGGCAGGGGGCTCCCCAGCCAACCTTCCAGCTCCGCTCGCCGTGCGGAGCCTGGAAGGAGCGAGCGAGCGGATGGAGGTGGCCTCAATGGAGAAGTGACTCAATGGGGGGAGGCTAAGGTGAGAAAGCCAGCGACTGAAATGGTGGATATCTCACTCCCACTGTGACAACCAGAAATTCCCTGAATGGATTACAAGCTACAACCGACTGCTGGTCATGGAAATTCCCACCATCCATGGACTCCACCGACCGTGACTGGTCATGCAAAGAGCCTTCAGTCCCAACGGGTGACGCTTCGGTTTCAGCTGCGGCCCACCGGTTTCAGGTTTAGGGTTCGGTTGAAACAGCTTAGTAAGTAAATCCGGTGGTTTTTTCTCTAGGTGTCATTAGTAACCGTGGTTTCTAGTGTAATTTTAGGAAAGCAAATTTAAGCGTCATTCATAACCCCTGCCTCCTTTGCCCCTTCCAGGGCCCCTGGAAAAATCTCCCGTGCCTCTCATCTCATTCAGCTGCCTCGCAACCAGGACAACGGCAGGAGAGCCAGAAAGACAGAAAAAAGTGGTTGTCAGATGTTGTCACAATATGTCACAATGGTTTAACACTTATCATCCCCATCGTTTGTCCAGCCCAAAGTTGTCTGTTGCATGTTTCTTTTGTGGCTGGCGGCCTGTTTGCCTGCCTTCCATTGGATCATGATGGCTGCTCCACTGGCCAAGTGGTTCAGGAGTTCAGCAGATCGTTCATAGGAGGAAGTTCCAGAACACCTTCAGTTGTGCTTGTACAGGACTGTGCCAAGTATTTCTGCGTCTGCGGATGAGCTGAAGCTCCTGCAATGACAAATGAACTCGAACACTGAATACTATCCCCTTAAGGACTTGGACAATGCAGTGGAGTTCGTTGCCGGAATTCCAACACTGACGCCTGGGGCCAAATCTTCCCACTTCCCCGGTCGACCAGAAAACCACTTCCAACACCTTCGAGGCACATGCCGACCTCTCTCAGAGTGCCATGCGTCGCCCGGGAGCGAGCATCGGTCACCAAAGTCGGAAAAACCGTGGAACCCACACGTGCTGAGTCGTGAGGTCCATCCCATCCCTCCAATTGGCGCCCGAACCGGTCCCTGTTCTGGAAAATGTCTGGACTGCTCGTAGCATCGAACGCATGTGATGGCCCAAGTCAACGCCAGCTTTTTGGAGGAAAATCGTCCATTCTCGACCCACATCTCAGACCCACCGCACACGGGTTGTTTGGCAGAAAGCCTACACCAAAGAACCACCACCTGTCGATCGCCGCGCTTTCGCGGCTTCACCTTCACCCCGGGACTCGACCCTTCTCCCATCCGATCCGAGCCGAGCCACTGGAGGCCGTCCATCGGCACGGCGCGACGAGTCGTCGCGGCCCATGGCGCTGCACGCGTGGCCCACGCGCGGCCGAGGGGCCGATGGCCGAGGTGAGGAAGGTATGTCGAAGGGTTGACGATTGGTCCGATCTAAGGGGGGTTCAAGAGGTTTCAAGTACTGCCTATAGCCTATAGCCCACTTGATTCATGATTCATGACGTTTGACACATCAGGGTGTGTAGTAGGGTCTAAAACCTATTGATTTCAAACGCTTTAAGAAGACACTCGGTAAATCGCCCATGTCAGATGCTACTGGGTCGGTGGATCGGAGTGCTTCTGCTGTGGCGAGGTCGGTCGCGAGGCCGGCGAGGCAGTCGTCAGAACCTTCAGTGCACCACTGGGAAATGTGCCGACTCTCTTCACCAATTAATGGCAAGAGGAACATTTGGTGAAAAGCATGTGCGAATTCAGCTACCTCAGTTCTCAACAGACTTGATCACCAAACTGCATCTTATATATCTTATTCTCAACCGCTGCATCTTCTTCACGCAAAAATATGCAAAAGCAAAAAATGTAGGAATATTGTGAACAAAAAGAACAAACAAATAAACCGTGGATTCCCAACTCAAACTGAACATGTGAACTCAGAATAAGGACACCTAAGGACACCTCTATTCGAAGTATATAATTAGGAGCTGACACATGGACTTCCCCAACCGTAAAACAACGCAGGGGAGGCTGGGAGAACCGAATCCGGTAAGCCTCTCTCCCCACGGGGTGACGTTCCAGCTCCTCAACTCACTGTCACGGTCAACATGATGAGATTAAGATGATTAAGCTCTTCATTAGCATTTTCCGGTCAACCAACACACAACACCCTAGGTGACCGGAGAAGCCCCTTCGCTTGGGGTCTGAAAGGATGTTTGTTTTCGTTGCACCATACACCAAGCCGCAGCTGCGACCATACACCACCCGTGCTTTTGCTTTGAAGGGCCAGCATCGTCCCGGTTTGGCCAATCCACTCAGATGGCTCCGCTCGGGTCCCCCTCGGGCTACATCGCCTCGGTCGGCTCGGGACTGAGGGAAAAGGAAAATGGCCTGAGCCATTTTGAGAGCCCGTCTCGCGGGGACATGAACGGGTCAAAAAAAAGAACATGAAGCCAGTGATCCGTAGCCTTGGTTGACCAGCGAAAATGACGATATCATGAACAGAGTATAACAGAGTCCTTTATAAGGGATGTCAACCTACTAGTACCATGACTTTGTCAGGTAATGCTTTGACCCACAGCCAGAACGGGTGCAGTGTTCTTTTCATGTGCGTGTTTCTGGGAGGGAGCGTGGCTTCAATTTGCAAGAAGATCATTCAGGGGGAACAACCTCTCCTTGGCACGCAAGCCTCGCCAAAAGCATGGAACACCTCAGGTGTCCATCAACCCAAAACTACATGATTGGTGGGTTCACACCGCCAGGTGCTTCGATGTTTTCCGTCAGCTGCCCTGTCTGTCCGGCCGCTCCCTCTTCACCTTCCACCTTCGTTTAGCCAGGACTGGGGCGACTAGTCGCTTAGTATCCCCAGCGGGGGCCACCGCCGAAAAGGTGCACCGGCGTGTGGTGGACGAAGTACCAAATGCAGCGGCCAATGAAGCCATAGGCGCACTCATCCTGGGCGATGTCTGACGCTCCGGCTCTGGCGCCGAACATGAGGTCTCGGTCTAAGACCAGTCTCGGTCGTTTCACTCACCAACATTGCAGAGTGCACATCTTCATGTCTTCATGGAACATCCAAACATCCAGCAGGGAAGGGCCTGAGTCAAGCTTGTGCAATTAGGGGGTACCACCAATTCCGGGCTTCATCCCAGTTCTCTATACCAGCACGTGGAGTGAGTGGGAGGGAAATGCAGGCGCACAAAGGGGGCGGCAAAGCATAACGGTCCATTTGTCAGGGGCTTCAACAGTGGATTTCAGGCAGCCACCTTACAAGGGTTTCTAGGTCTACGGAATGGTTACCTACTAGTTGGAACCACTGCTTACATACAGCTTAGTGGTAACTGGATCCGTTGGTTCGGAATCAGTCCGAGCATCAGTCTTGGAGGCTTCAATGAACTCCTTCTGCACGGCACAAACCTGACCCCAAACGCACATGAGGCCGGAGTTCTTCTGCCAGTTGGCGCCAGCCACGAAGCAAGCGTCATCTGGGCCCAAGGATGTGGCGAACATCCCGGCACCCCATGGCCAGTGCATGTCCCAAACCTTCAATGGGTCTCCGCAGCAATCAACAGTCTTGCTCTGGAAGAGCAGCTTGTCTGTCTTCTCGATGTTGGTGCAGGCCACGATGCACATCTCCTCACCGGGGTAGGAGATCTTTGGGATGGGTGGAATCGGCCAATCGTCTGGCTTCTTGCCTGCCTCTTCAATGCACCCGTAGTTGCAATCGCCCACAGCATAAATGCGGGGGAAGCCCTTCTCATCTGCGCCCCAAAGCTTGCCATCGCGAGTCTTGACGGACAAGTTCTGGTTCTAGGCAACGGCTGCACGTCAATACAATCTGATATGCCCGGAGTGATCTTAGTGGATCCCAATTACTGCGATATAGACATGCATACATATAGTAAGGTGCAATGAGTATGGTTTTGGTGTGTTTTGGAGACGCGAACAGTCAGTTCATGCCTCATTAATTTTTAGGGTTCTGGGAGGCTGGGCTCAAAGGGCTATGGGTGAAACCTAGGTGTGCTCAAACACGTCCTGCTGAGTCATTTCGAGCATGCAAAAGAAGGCATGTTTTATGGTTAAGACTAGGACGGTAGCTGGTCATCTTCGATCCCATCTCTCCCATTCCCACGTCAACAACGCGCTGAACACTTGCAAGCGCTGAGGACGCCACCATCAGAATCCAACCTCCGCCACCAGGTCCCTTCTCGCTCAGGGTCTCCTTTGGCATGAAGTAGTTGGACGCCTTCACACCAATGCACACGTACTCCTTGTCCGGACCGTTGGGCAAATCGATGCTCTTCCAGAACTCAGGATTCTTGGCATCGTACTTGGTGTTGTAGAACTGCTTGATGCCAACCTTGTTCATGTACTTCTCCTCAGTCTTGCATCTATGGTGTGTGTTCCTTTCAGTGGCACAACTGTTCCTTCACACACCGAGTCGTTTCCATGCATGTCCATCTTTTGGTACGTGAAATGCAGCATGACCTTGTGAAAAGTAGATTGGTCTTGCGTGTTTCGCCTCATCAATACCAGATAAGGGTAGAAACCGTCGAAACCAGTTCATTGTTCATAGAAACTGATGGAGGTAGGCAAAATCCTCCTCTTCCCACTTCACATTGGCATGACCTGTCAAATCTTTGCAAGCCCGAACGCTTCCACACCCCTCACGCCACTTATATATCGCCCAGTGGCGCAATACTTGGCCGCCGTGGCAGGGAGGGGGCCCAAGGGCTGTGGCAAAAAGTCGATGATGGTTAACTTCACCTGGGTCGCGTAGCTCCCAGCTCCGGCGGCACAGAAGGCACCCCAAAAACAGCGGGTTTTTCGCTGCGGGCGACGCCAAAAGTCTGATGGATTCGTTTCGTGGAAGCAGAGAGTCTGCGCAGCCGAGCGAACAAGCGTTGTTTCCACCCCCCCAAAAAAGGGGAGAAACTCGGAATCGGCTAAAGCCCATATATCCAAACCCGGGCCATGGGTGTGTACTAATCATAATAATCGCCCCCCAAAAAACAGGTGACGGATGATGAAGAGTGAAGGGATGTTCATTACACCATCTAACTCCCGAACCCCCCTGGTCTAGGACATACATCAAACATACGTCTGACTGACTTTCCTCAGTCCATGGATGCCCTGGTCTAGGGTCCTGGTCCGACCCCGGGCCCAGCCATCATGGGTGACCGGGAAGGTGACCTCCCTCGGTCCCTGAAGCACCAGTTCCTCACGTCTGTCAGTCATTTCTTCTAGCACCATTTTCTGATCCAAAACATCCAATCCGCTTCTTGTTCGCCGTGGATGCCTCTCACCAGTCTCTGATTGTAGACGTCCAAGGCACAAACAATTCTGAGGTGGAACTTGCTCAAAAGAGCTCGAACGTCAAAAGAAAGGGTCTATGAGTCTTTCTTTCAGTCACACACGCTTCAGTTCAAGATCTAGTTTTGCACTGGAAGGGAAACCATTTCTTCATTTCTATCAGAACCTGGGCAAGTTCACAAATCAATTTGGCCCCATCATGGGCCGGTCGCATTCTTTTTGGAGCTGCAGCTACATTACATGGCCCCAACATGACATCCACGCACATACCATCGAAGTAGGAGCCCCCTGTTTCTAGAGGAAACATGCTGTCTTGCCACCATGTTCCACCTCCATGTGAGTCATGATTCAGGAGTCGACGTCCACTTCGCTCCACCCGAGGTCGGCCCTTCGACAGTCCCGAGCTGGCATTCGCACCTGCAGTCCCAGGCGCTCTGGGGAAAAAGTGCTGAATCTCCGTGGCCCATTCCACGCCGATGAAGCCAGCGCCCACCACGAGGCAGGTGGCCGACTTGTCGTGGAGACTCTTCAGGAAGTTGAACCTCAAATTCACTCGCGGAAGCAAGAACACCGCATGACCACACGTGCTTTCCCGGCCCAAAACGTACCTGGACGTGCCCCAAAGGGCCAGGCGGCTTGACATGGTTTGCTGCGTTTTGACTCTGCTTTTGGTTCAGGGCGCCCTCCTTTCGGCCCCCTACTCCTCCAAGCAGCTCCTCCAAGACGTGTCGGCGGCGACCCTCCAAATACCGCTCGTCCAAATGTGGCCAGCTGCCTGCGCTCGGCTTTTCGCACGGCAGACACACAAAACCATCAGGGGTCATGTTTGGGCAGTTCATCCAATCCCAAGCACCAAGCCTGGGTCTCTAAGGGTCTAAGACTCCACACCTTTTGGTCAGTTTCCGGTGGAAAAAAGCGGAACCAACTGAGCATCTGGGTCGCTCCAAATTCGATGCGGTTTGTGTTTTTTCTACTTCCATCATAGTGCGTCAGAATGTATGATTTGGGGACGACTTCTTCTGTCAGTAGCAAAGGAATTGGCCGGCCAATTCACTGGGACACTGCATGCCAGCTAATGGAGTTTTGAACCAGGCTTACCTGTGAACAGTAGGGCTCCATTGCTGACCTGCTCTCCTGCTTCAAGTCTTCCCTTCCAAAGCAGCCAATCGGAAAGCTGGCATTTGAAGGGCTGGTTCCTTTCGCGATCCAACGATTTGTCAGGGTCATCTCCACTCCCACAGTGCACGCCACACCCATCTTAGATTCATGAATTGTCTAAATATTCTAAATGTTAAAAAATGAAAATCTACAAAAAGGTTAATTTCAACCAAACCCATCAAGAAACGAAACTGTCAGCGAGCCTCACCTCCAGGAGTTGTCCCAATCTGTCTCAAATTGGCACGACATGGAGAACAATTCGATTGCAAACTGCTGTTGGTCCACACCGCGGGGGGGGGGGTTTCACCAGGTCCAAACGCCATCCCCACCTCCAGTCCTCGGTCCAGCAGGTCCAAACGAAACGATTCCCTTCCTCGTCCGGTCCGGTGGATCTCACCACGGCGCCTTCGGGTCGAGCATCTTCGTGGATGGTGGGGAACCACAGGGATTCACCCCACCTGCCAGTGCCGTCGAGGTTCCGCCGGGGCGAAGTCGGGCGAAGTCGGGCGAAGTCTGTCACCGGACTTCGCCGAAGTTCGACTGAGACTGAGGCGTTCTTTGGGGGAGACTGGCTGAGAAGTGCAGGTGGGATCTGGGTGGCTGAAGAAGGAGAAAGTGCCTCAGGATCGACTTAGATTCGATGTGCTTTTTGGGGTGCCAAATGAGGCCCAAAGAAAGGCCTTTCCCGGATCCACTGCCCTCTGAGAGGGTGTTCTGTGTACACTTGTATGTAGGCTTGGAGGGTCCACGGTTTCTTCTGAGAAGGTATTTGGGATCCCTGGGGTGAACCAGCATGAACCAACTATAAAGATCTGTAAAGTGTAAAGCCTCTTAGTGGGGAATCGTTGACGGCTTGGAACTGGCAGGGAACATCTGTAGTTCCAATATGAGTGGAGAAGGGCACCCCTATCCTCCAACAAGCACCTTTGAATGCCTGCACCACAACCCATCCCCAACAACCCATTCAAAAAAAACACACACAAAACAACCTTTGCCGCTGCCCAGTTGCTTATGGAAGGGCCCAAAGTTGCAGCCTGCCGCGATGATGCAGTAGTCGAAATCAATGGTCTCCTCAACCAGCGGAGGAGTTCAGCACCCACCCAGACCAGCTGACGCACCGGGAGCCGGCCTCCCTGGACTCATTTTGTGGAAGGACTCTTTCACTCCACGCCCAGGAAAGGTTTTTGTGCTGACCATGGGGTAGATAGTGGAAATATACAGTCTGACAAACATCCGGATCCAGGACTATGGTACAACAACAAGGAAGTTGTCACACATACACACCAAAAATAAACACTTGGAAGGGAAAAAACATATTTGGCGCACGTGTTTCTCCTTCGGCCAGCCGGTTTCCTTCACCTACATCCACCTGATATCACCTGATCTTGTGGGATCCGTGCTCGCTCCAAAAACGCCTCGTTCACGTTCCAAATGCCTCGTTCACATCCAAGCCACACGCTCAGTCGTGAAGATGGGCTTGTAGGTGGCCGTCTTCTGCTCTGCATTAAGCTCCTGAAGATCGGTCCGAGGCCACCGATCCACCGATCCCTTCGGATCAACACCCGGCAGAGCCACATGGCCGGTCACTGAGCCAGCCGATCGGTCGATGCCGAAAGCAGGCCGTTGGTTCTTTTGGCACAGAACCATGGTGATCCATTGTTTTGTGCTTTTACACCTCTTCACAGAAATATTCCATCCTGCTTTTACGTTTTACAAGATGTATATAAATACTAGAAGCACCTGAGGCAAGAATTCTTGCCTCAGTTCAATTTGCCCGACAAAAAATAGTTTAAGTGGCCTTCCAAAAGCCATCACCACTACCTAAAAGCCACCAAGCTATCTCTTCCATGAATGCATACCGTGTAGGTTTTGCAAGAACCCTCACCAAGGGCGATGTTTACGTACCATGTTCGACTCATGAAATTGACAAAAACTGCAACAAAGGTTCAAGCCCTTGAAAAGCACTGGTTCGGGAAATTAACAGGAAATGTCCAAGTTGTCCATTGTTTTTCCTGGGTATGTCCGCCTGTTTTCATAGGTATTCCCGCCAGGTTTTTTCATTTTAGACTGAGTGGTTTTACTTTGTGTGCGTTCATTCAGCAAAATAAGCCTTCAAAAGCAAAGAGTCACACGATGGTAGGCAGATTTGCCCATTCTTTTTCTCAGTGAGGTGACCACTCCATAAAAAAGACTCGATGCAATCCCCAAACAAATTATTCAGAGCCCCAAATTTCCAAACTATTCGTGTCACTAGATTCCTGAAAGGAAAAATCACGGCCACAAGAACATTCGCGGCAAAAAGTGTCTTCCATATGTTTCCGCTTCAGGACAGGAAGAGCCGCTCTTCCCAAAAATTATTTTGACACTGTTCAGTGGAAATTACTGGGAATTCTGCACATGGTCAGGTCATTTGTTTGATGTGTGTTTTTTAGAGGGGTTGCGGTGTGCCATATGTATATATATATATATTTATACATATTGCATTCACACATGTCAAAACCCGGAAGGTGTGCAAGCACATGTTGAATTTGCAACATTTGCAAGTGTTGCATGTTTTCTGGATTCAAGATTCAAGATTCCGGGAAAAGTTTTGAGGTTCTGGATGTCAGTCAGGGCTTGGATTCAAGAACATTTTCCCAGAACCGTTAATCTGATAATCGGGAGTATCAGGAACAGGAGAGAAATGAGTTGGAGCAG